GTAGAATCAACATAGTAAAAATATGTATCCCAAAAGTAATCTACATGTTTAATGCAATTCCCATCAAAATTCCAATGACATTCATTAAAGAGATTGAAAAATCTACTGTAAATTTATATGGAAACACAAGAGCCAAATACCAAGGCAATACTCAGTCAAAAGAACAATGCAGGAGGTATCACAATACCTGACTTCAAACTATATTACAAAGCAATACAAAAAACAGCATGGTACTGGCACAAAAACAGACATGAAGACCAGTGGAACAGAATAGAGGACCCAGATATGAAGCCACACAACTATAACCAACTTGTCTTTGACAAAGGAGCTAAAAATATACGATGGAGAAATAGCAGCCTCTTCAACAAAAACAGCTGAGAAAACTGGTTAGCAGTCTGCAAAAAACTGAAACTAGATCCATGTATATCACCCTATACCAAGATTAACTCAAAATGGATCAAGGATCTTAATATCAGACAAACTCTAAGTTGATACAGGAAAGAGTAGGAAATACTCTGGAGTTAGTAGGTATAGGTAAGAACTTTCTCAAAAACCCCAGCAGCACAGCAACTAAGAGATAGCATAGATAAATGGGACCTCATAAAACTAAAAAGCTTCTGTTCATCAAAAGAAATGGTCTCTAAACTGAAGAGAACACCCACAGAGTGGGAGAAAATATTTGCCAGCTATACATCAGACAAAGGACTGATAACCGAATATATAGGAACTTAAAAAACTAAATTCTCCCAAAAACTAATGAACCAATAAAGAAATGGGCAGTGAACTAAACAGAACTTTCTCAAAAGAAGAAATTCAAATGGCCAAAAACACATGAAAAAATGCTCACCATCTCTAGCAATAAAGGAAATGCAAATTAAAACCAACTACAGCTACCTGTTAGAATAGCCATCATCAGCAACACCACCACAACAGGTGTTGGCGAGGATGGGGGAAAAAGGAACCCTCTTACACTGTTGGTGGGAATGTAAACTAGTACAACCACTCTGGAAAAAAATTTGGAGGCTACTTAAAAAGCTAGACATGATCTACCATTTGATCAGCAATACCACTCTTGGGGATATACCCAAAAGACTGTGACACAGTGTTACTCCAGAGGCACCTGCACACCATGTTTATTGCGGCACTATTCACAATAGCCAAGTTATGGAAACAGCCAAGATGCCCCACCACTGACGAATGGATTAAGAAAATGTGGTATCTATACAATGGAATTTTATGCAGCCATGAAGAAGAACGAAATGTTATCATTCGCTGGTAAATGGATGGAATTGGAGAACATCATTCTGAGTGAGGTTAGCCTGGCCCAAAAGACCAAAAATCGTATGTTCTCCCTCATATGTGGACATTAGATCAAGGGCAAACACAACAAGGGGATTGGACTTTGAGCACATGATAAAAGCGAGAAGCACACAAGGAGGGGTGAGGATAGGTAAGACACCTAAAAAACTAGCTAGCATTTGTTGCCCTTAATGCAGAGAAACTAAAGCAGATACCTTAAAAGCAACTGAGGCCAATAGGAAAGGGGACCAGGAACTAGAGAAAAGGTTAGATCAAAAAGAATTAAACCTAGAAGGTAACACACACAGCACAGGAAATCAATGTGAGTCAATTGCCTGTTATAGCTATCCTTATCTCAACAGCAAAAACCCTTGTTCCTTCTATTATTGCTTATACTCTCTCTACAACAAAATTAGAAATAAGGCAAAATAGTTTCTGCTAGGTATTGGGGAGGGGGAGAGGGAGGGGCAGAGTGGGTGTAAGGGGGGGTGGGGGCAGGGGGGAGAAATGACCCAAGACATTGTATTGCACATCTGAATAATAAAAGAAAAAAAACTTTGGAAGCTACTTAAAAAAGCTAACAATTGATCTACTTTGATCCAGCAATTCCACTCTTGGGGATATACCCAAAAACACTGTACACAGGTTACTCAGAGGCACCTGCACCCCATGTTTAATTGCACACTATTCACAATAGAAAGTAATTGGAAAAACAGCCAAGATGCCCCACCACTGACGATGGGATCAAGAAAATGTGTATCTATACACAATGAATTTTATTCAGCCATGAAGAAGACGAAAATGTTATCTCGTGGTAAATGAGATGGAATTGGAAGAACATCATTTCGAGTGAGGTTAGCCTGGTCCCAAAAGAAAAAATTCATATGTTTCTCCTTATATCGCCGAATTAGATCAAGGGCAAACACAACAACGGGGGATTGAACTCTGTCAAAGATAAAGCCGATGTGCACACAAGGGGATATGGGATAGGTAAGACACCTAAAAAATTGCTAGCATTTGTTGCCCCCACTGCAGAGAAGAAACTGAAGCAGATACCTTAAAAAGCAACTGAGGCCAATTAGGAAAGGACCAGAACTAGCAGAAAAGCGTATAAAGATCAAAAAAAGAACTTAACCGTAGAAAGTAACACCCACGAACAGGAAATCAATGTGAGTCAACTCCCTAGTATAGATCTCCTTATCTCACCAAGCAAAAAACCATTGTTTCCTCCTATTATTGTCTTATAGTCTCTCTTCAACCAAATAAGATAAAGGGCAAAATTAGTTTTCTGCCGGGTATCGAGGCCCGGTGGCGGGGTAGTGGTAAGGGAGGGGTGGGGCAGGGGGAGAAATGACCAAGCATTAGTACGCACATATTGAATAATAATGTTAAAAAAAGATGTGTGGGGGAAGTAATATAAGAAAGGTTAATAGAGGGTGAAATTTGATCAATAGTCATGATATGCAATGTGTGAAAATAGTCAACAATGAAACCCCTTTTGTACAAGGGTGTAGACCTAAGATGAAAAAGGGAAATAAAAAGAACCAGGAAAAATAAGTAAAAATAAAAGATAAGGGCAAAATAGTTTCTGCTGGTATAGGGGGGTGGCGGGGAGGGTGGAGGGGGTGGGGGCAGGGGGAGAATTGACCAAGCATTGTACGCACATATGAATAATAAATAAAAAAAAAAGTGTGTGGGGGAAGGTAATAGATAAAGAAAGGAATAGAGAGTGAAATTTGATCAAAGCCATTGATATGCAATGTGTGAAATATCAATGAACCCTGTTGTACAATTTAATGATAACCTACATGAAAAGGGAATAAAAAGAAACCAGGAAAAAATAATAAAAATAAAATTCTGAGAACTTCTTTTTGATAATCTTTGAAAATAATATTTTTCAAACTTAAAGAAAATTCTTAGACCTAGGACTGTGGCTCAGTCAGGCTACATAGCACGTCCTTGTTCTCAAAACCCAAATTCAAACAAAAACTTTTTTAAAAATCTGGCAGCAGAATTTATTTATTTCAAGTACAATCTGACCTTCTTTTAAGTAAAAAGCTTTAATATCATTTTATAGGTCAGAAAATTTAGAGGGTCCACTGACAGTCTATTATCCTTTTCATGTCAAAAAGGGGACGAAATTCGCACTATCGTATATCAAATTTACGAAGAACTACCTCTTAATAAAAGATTAGCATGCTAGGCTTCATGGAGTTTAAGACATGCGTTCAGAACATCAGAAGAGAATTTTTATCCCTTTCCATACAACCCATCAATGTCCTCAGCCCTCAGTCTTACCTGACTAGCACATCTACACAAAAAAAGCAAGAGGTAATAATTCAGGTTATAAACAATATATATACATATAAATGTCAATTAGGAAACTCCCTGGAATAGCTATCTTAAACAAACAAAAGTGTCATTACTTTTTTCTTCTACAAAATCAGAGATCAGGAGGCAGAACAGATCCTGTCTGGGGCTCGGGTTGGTACCAGTGGGAGCGGGAAGGATGTGGGGAAGGTGTAGGAAGGTGAATATGGTGCAAAATACTGTGTAGCACATGTAAATGTAAATGGAAAAAAATGAATCTGTTGAAAACTATTTCCAGGATTTTTGAGGGGAGGGAGAAAAAGAGAATGATGGAGGGGGTGAATTCAAAGTATAATATATTTGGATTTATTTAAGAAACTTTTGTAAATGCTAACAAGGTACCCCAGCACAACAATAAAAAATAAAAAAAAAAGATAAAAACAAAAACATAACAAAAAACCAAAAAAAAACCAAAAGGTGTCCCTTCGTTTTGACACTAGTTTGGTACTAAAAGTACACGTCTAAACCTCAATTTAAGTCTATAGAGCTCCTGTTGCTTGCAAAGATGATCCAGGGAATTGGAGGCCATTTGTGGATTCATTCAGAAAGCAGGAACCACTGGTCTGGGTTGTATGTTACATAGGCCCCAACTTGGAAAACCAGTGGTAGACAGATTGACCCCCTGGAATGGCAGCCCAAGCCTGAGAAGGCAGGGCTCCTCCAAATGAGGCTTTCCTACAAAGAGACAATGGTAGTACCAAAGCAAGCTTCAAGGGAACATACCAAATGAATAATTTTAAAGCAGTTAAAAATTCTCACCATAAAATTAACCTGGCAAAATTGCAGAAGAACTCTCTAACAGAAGACCAAACAAAAGAATCCCTTTTAAAAAGCTAATATGCCCTTTCATCTAGTTTCCACTGCCCTTTCTCTACTTCTGTTTTTTTATACTTTCACAGAATACAATGGTTTATCAATTCTCAAGTAGATGATGAGCCTCTACTCAAGGGATCCTTAAACAAATAAAAGTAAAAATGGAAAAAATTAAATTCTGCTGCTTTCAGTCATAAAGTCAAAGAAAGTAATCAGATTTATGTTGAATCTTGCTAACCTCAAATGACTAAGAGTCAAACATACCTATGCCTTAAGCAACTACTCATGGGGCAGTTTAAGAAAAATTTGTAAATGACCAACAAAGGTATACCAAATGAAATGGCTTTTAAAAAAAGAAACAGAAAATGCAAGTAGGCCCTAAACTGCTCAGACAGCCTTCCCCCGGGTTTTTTTTTTTTTAGCATTCCTCAACTCTCTCCATAACAGGGATTCTGGCTTTGCCAGTGCCTCACTGGGTTGAACGGCCACACTAGAACAGAGGGGGAAATGTCACTTACCTGTTTCCCCTCCCCGTGCTTTTTTTGGTCCCCTTTGCTACTGTGGCTAACACAGTAGCTGCCTGCTCCCCCCAGTCACTGAAACCGAGCATTGGGCCACAATGTAGAAGAATCGTGGGCCTAAGGAGAAAAGAAAGAATGATCCAGTGAGTTTTCAATAACATGATACAGAGATTTTTCAGAGGCCATGCTTGTCCTTTTAATCGGTGGGTTCTTGTTTTCAATGCGCACATACAATAATCGGGAAAGCTTTAAAAAACAAAAACTAAACCTGGGGCCAGTGTAATAATCCCAGTTACATGGGAGGAAAGGTTTGGGGGATTCAACTGGTCTGAGGGTAAAAAATAAAGATCTCTATTAAAAAAATAAAGGTGAAAGGGTTTGAGGCCATAGCTCAAGGGGCGAGTGCTTTGCCTCGAACCATGAAGGCCTGAGTCCAATCCCTAGTTCAGCAAAAAAAGACTCCAACCAAAAAATAAGAAAACATCAATGCCTGGAAACCGCATCTCAGACGCATCTCCAGAGATTGGAAACTAAACATGAATGTGGTTTTTAAAGGTTCTCTCAGGATGACCATTCGGATATAAAGTATTTATAATATTCTCTTGTTTATCTGTGAACATGCTTGTTACCAATTCCCTGATACTGGCTAATATATGTCTTATCTCTTTACTTTAGTTTCACCAAGGGATTATCAAGTTTGTTAACCTTTCCAAATAAACACCTTTGGGCTTACTGATTCTCCTATCTCTATCTTAATGTCTTAGCTATTTTCCTTTACGGCCTTTTATTGTTCATGGGTTTAATAATTGTTCTTCCTGGGCCAAGATGCTCTGTTGATTTTTTCAAGATTACTTCTTTTCTACTACAGAACACACAGTGGAAGGCCTTTAACCTCTCTCAAAAGCAAGCTTCTTAGCTGCATCATACAAGTCTTAATGTGTGGCATTTTCCAAGTATTTTTTGGATCCTGCATTTGTAGGGGTTTTTCCCAGATAGTACTTTTGGCATTGGACTTAATTCTAGGAAGAGAGAGCAGAAATCCATCCTGGAAGTGCTGCAATGCACTGCAAGAAGGGTGAATTTTTCCTCCAGGGGTACTACAAGGACATCTGTGTTCTTAAACTTAATTTTCCTACAAGCCTGCTTACCTTAACAAAAGATTCCCAGGTGAAACAGATCCCCAAAGTGTTTTTGGAAAGTTAAAATAAAAAATTTCGCTCTACATCACTTTTTTAAATTTCTTTAAAACAGCAATTTGGATTGCACACGGAGGTTCAAGACAACAAAAGGGAAAGGCAGTTATCCTTAAGAAACGTTCCTCACACCAGAGGCTTGATGGTGAAAAGCTGTTGACAAGGCCAGCTCAGGGAGAAGGTACAGTGGCAGTCAAGCCTGGGAGAGGCTAGGTCTCCACTGACCTGGTTGAAAGTAAAAACTGTATCCTTCTGCATGCTGCTTATAAAACTTTGATGACATTCACGATTAATGTGTTCATGGGGTATGCTAAAAGGCCCTGCCAGTGGATCCACAGGGCAAAGCTAAAAATTTTACCATTGTAATTTACAGGATCCTTGTACTTCCTCCAAACCCAGCTCTGCTGGAAACATTCTTTGCTGCTGGCCATGGCACCTTTCAGCCCTTGAGCTCTCCTCTTCATCCAGAAACACCCAAGCTCAGCATCAGATGGGTACCGTTCCCCACCCAGTGTCCAAGGAAGGCATTTTCTTTCTCCCATGTTTGTAAGACTTGCTTGGCCTGATCAAGCTGTCTCTGTTCCTGCTTCCCAAAAACCTCTAGCTTCAGGTATTCCCATTCTGGCACAACAGTGCTGATGGACCTGCAGTCTCCATTGGTTCCACACGGAACGGAACAGCAGGCCCTTGCCTTTATGGGGCAACTTTTGTTTTTTTCTTATGGGTGCCTCCAGTTGGCCCTGCTCAGCCAGCCTCAGAGTAGCTCAGCCCTCCTGAGCTATTCTTACAGTCCCTGGGAACATCCCACCAATAGTCTCCCACCCCAAAGTATTCAGCCCCTCCTCAAAGGTCTTTCCCGGTCAACCCCTCTCCTCCTCGCACATTGGTTTCGCCTTCAAAGGAGAGGAAGACATCTATTTGCTTTCTCAAATCCTCCTTCCCACTCTCAAACACTGATATAACCCATATGCCCGTCGTCCTTTCCTCTTCTCTTTGTAGACAAAACCGAATTTCTCAACGACTTGTTCCTGAGCCTTCTTTCCTTCTCCTGGTTGTTCTTATCTATTCACCACAGTTTAAATATATTTCCTATTCTGATTGCCCTACATTTTCTTTTCGTTTTTTTTTTTTTGACACAGATTCTCCATAAGTTGTCCAGGCTGACCTGGACTTCACAGATTCTCCTGCCTTGGATTCCTGAGTGCTGGATTACAGGCATATGTGTACCTCACCTGACGGGTCTATGTGTGCATCTTTCATCCCCAAGTAAGACACCTCTTCTGTGCCCAAGATTTATTCAGTGGCCCACATGGGATTATCTCACACCACCCTCAAATATAGATGTTAAAACAAAAAAACTGAGCCTCCGCCGCTCTTGCCCCACCACAGGCCCAAACCAACATAACGTAGTTTTTTCTAAGCCACAATGTTTAACTTATTGGGTATAGTTCGTTAGAAAACAAGGTCTCTGGTAAGCTAAGCTTCAAAGTCCTTTTTAAACTGCATTTGTACATGGATTACCACACCACCTGCTCAGCTGCCATTCTAGAAATAACTGCTCTCAAATTCATCACAGGAAGCTGGGGCATGGTGGATATATGCCTGCAATCTTAGCTTCTTGGTGAGCCTGAGGGCAGGAGGATATTGAGTTAGGCTAGTCTGAGCTAGACAAAGCAAGACCTGTCTCAAAAATTTTAAAACAACCTCATCTGGGGCTGGGACTGCTGGGCTCAGGTGTAGAGCAACTTGCCTAACATGCTTGAGGCCCTTGCGTGCTATCCTTAGCACCACAAAACAGCAACAACAACAAAACCCACCTTGTCTAACCAGTATGCCGAATGTGATTGCAGCACAGGATGGAGATGTTTTCCCACCAGTATTGCCAAAGCCCTGCTTTTGCTGTCAAAAGCCAACCCTCTTCTCAAGGTCTGCCAGACCCCACAAAGAATTAATTAGGCCTTCAATCCTTGAACCTGTGGGGAACCACATCTGACTTAGAAGTATGAGGGAAAGGGACAGTTCGGCAGCTAGGCCAACATATCTGACGTCTCTCACACATACTAGACAGGGACAGCAGGAATCACAGAAGCCTTAAGGAAAGAAGTGGCAGAGGCATAAAATAAGAGACCGTAAAATTTATTCATCTGCCACATGAAGATTCCTCTAAGAATCATGATTCCACAGAGGGGACAGACCCACTTCAGTCATCGATCCATTGGGGTTGCAAAATGCAAACCCCAGCTACAGTCAGGATATGTGGGGTTTACTTTTTTTTGGAATTACTGGGGTTTAGCACTTGTAGGGCAAATTGCTCTGCCACTTAAGCATACCTTCAGTGCAAAGTACATTTTAAAAGATGTGGCTTCAGGTAAATAACTTGCCAATAAAAGATAAAGGGATAACCATTAGCATGTGCTTGAAAATTCCCTTTTAGGGGAACAGATTCCCTCTCTGGCACAGGCAGATGAACAACAGCCTTGCTGCTCTCTGTGGGTGGATACAGCACTTTGAATGGGATTAAACAAAACCTCAGAAACTGCGTCACTTAGAAAATATGGAGAATCTTGCCAACTGTGGTGGTTACACACCTGTAATTCCAGCCAACTCGGGAGGCAAAGCAGGCAAGACTACAAGTTTCAAGACCGCCTGGACTAAAAGCAAGTTCCAAGGCCGGCCTCAGTTATATAGTGAGACCCCTGTATTCAAATTGGTCCCCTCCCCCAAAACAAAGAAAAATATGGGTGATCTCAAAAACACGTTAACATTCATGGAAGGAAAGGGTTGCCCCTTAGTGCGAATGTAGGCAGATACGTTAGAACCTTCTGCGAGCTAGCAGGTGAGCCATCTGGACTTGGAGGCTGAGTAAATGTGACCAAAGCGATGGACACTACTTTCTTACCGTGATCATTCTGAGGAACAGCAGGGGAATGTTCGTTTGGCAGCATAACTCGATGAAGTGAGCACCCTATAAAAATAACATAAAGATCTTTTTTAAAAAAAGGAAATTAAGGGTCCACAATTATTCATTTATCCTACAAAACTGCGAATTTGGTCAAGCTCAAAAGAATACCCGGGGTGTGTGGCTGGGAGACCTTCTATCCACAAGCAAAATGATTGCAGAGCACCCCCCATCACCAGTAGGACACATGTGATTTGTACAGGTTTGCACACTCGCCTGCACAATCACTGGCACATGGACCAACCATGCGGATTGGAAGTCACACTGAACTTTCCACAGCACTAAACACTTAGTAACAAGAGAAGAAAAAGAACTGCTGTCAATGGTAACTGTGATGTGGTCATAATTCTCTAAAGTCTCCAGTTGACAGGGTATCAGAATGAAATTTAGCTGGACACCGGTGTCTCACACCGTATAATCCTAGCTACTCTCTGAGCAGAGATCAGGAGGATCAGGGTTTGAAGCCAGCCCAGGAAATAGTCTGCTAGATCTTATCTCAAAAAACTCTTCACAAAAAAAGACTGGTGAAGTGGCTCTAGTGAGAGTGCCTACCTAGACAGCGTGAGGCCCTGAGTTTTCAAGCCTTCAGTGAAGCAGGGGAAAAAAAAAAAAAAAAAAAAAAGAGATGATTTTACATTGATGATCACTGAAATTCCTTCATGTATCAAGATAATGATGAAATAACATATCTTGAATAAATGCCCCAAGTAAATAGGATTTTTAGAGTAGGTGAGTGCTAGAGATTCTTTTTAGTCTTAATTTAGGAAATTATTTAATGTCCAAAAATGAAACTACTCTTTCCCTCTCTTTAAACATTACATGAGCAAGAAACACTTATAAGTCAATTTCCTTCATGTTTTACTCTGCTGCAAATCCCTTCACTTTTGCTGGAAACTGCAACCAAAGCAACTGCGCAAATCCCACTGTGACTACGGTTTACAGAAGGACAAAATCACACAGACATTTAACGCTTATGTCCAATAATGAAATGTCAGATGGGGGCCCAAATTACCACCTCTGCCTGGAATCAAACCAGGCAAGTTTGCTTTAGTTTGTTTTTTGTTTTTTTTTTGTCGACAGTGGTCTTGTGGCTTTTGGTTCCTGAGGGGACTATGACCTTCCTGTTCTCCACTTCCTGGTATTAGGATTACAGGTCACACCCAGCATGCCCAGCCTGCTATTTATTTGCCTAAGATAAGTATATTTTGTGTTCACTAAAAGTCATTACCTCCAGGAATAATTAAGATTCGGGGAAATATTCACTAGTATTAAGATAAGTATATTTTGTGTCACTAAAAGTCATTACCTCAGGAATAATTAAGATTCGGGGAAATATTCACTATATATTATTAAATGAAAATAAGCAAAATTTATCTATATGTCAATATCAATTTTGTGGGCGTGGATTTTTTGTTTAGTTTTTTTATTTATTGTCACAGGGTCTTGCTACATAGCCCAGGTTGGCCTCAGACTTGTGATCTCCTGCTTCAGCCTCCTTAGTGCTGAGATTACAAACCATTTGCCACCACACCTAGCTAATTTTTTAAAAACTAAGAATAACAAATTGTTATTAAATGTTCCTTGTGATATGATTATAGATGATTTTAATTTTCTTCATTTTTACTTCTCATTTTCATCTTATAATTGAGTTGAGGGAAACTGGTTCATTGATAAAACATTTCGTCAAAGATAAATTCTTCCTCTGTTATGTTATGGAAGAATTTAGCTACCTGTTACCTTTATAAATAAGGGACACTTTTTATTAATTGAAAAGAGAAGACAAGACTAAACTTTTTCTTAAGACAACATTTTATCAAAATACATGAATTACATTTACCCAAGACTAGGCAAATCTGAAACAATGAACTATGAAATCAAATACTAAGCTGAATGTCACTGCCAAAACACCTACTATCTTCACATTTCCAAAAGGTAAAAATTGAGTAAAGTCAAATGGAGCACATCTCAGAACCCACAACAGGATGTCTGGATTCCTGCAGCACAGGGAGCCCTAGGGAGTGAAAGGCGCTTTCAGGACAAGTATCTCTCCCTTCTTAGAACAGACATGCCCTCTACAGCAACTATAAGTCAGGTGTATCATAAGAATGCTCCTAACACAAGTGTATTTGACTTTCAATTGTGCTACAGATAACACATCAATTAACGTAAACCACCACAAGAACTGTTTCCAACACTAACACACTCACATACAAACACAGTGTTCTGTTTGCTAAGGTATCCGGTTAAACATTACAAAGCTTTTACGCATGAATTTTAATTCATTACATGACCTTCAAAATTAATTGTTAAATCAGAACAGAAAATCTCAAAGCATTCTGAAGAGTACTTACCTTTTTGGCAGATTCAGAAAACAGAACTCCATTGTTTCCAATGATACCTACTGGATACCCAAATATTCGAGCAAATCCTCAAAGAAAATTCAAAAAGGATTTATGTTTTCCAAGGTGGAAATAATACCTCACAACGAGGTATATTTACATATTCTGTAGTTTCAGGTCAAGGTTTAAAATGTAAAGAGATTTTTGTCTATGGCATAAAACAGTTCATATCACAACTTTCAATTCCTACTAGAGTCTGGTTGTTTTGTTTTTTGCTTCTTAACAGGGTCATGCTACATATGAAGTTATCTGTCTGTCTTTGGTTGGTTTGGTTAAATGATTGGTCAAGTGTGTCATCATCCATCGATTCATTAGTAGCTTTCTGGGTGCCCAGAAGATACCAGAGGGCCATTCTGAAATAAAACATACCAAAGGCATGGAGTCTGACCAGCTTGCCCGAAAATATCTGTGCTGACAAAAGGCCCTTAAAATAACCAGGATAAACTCAGGGCAATAATTTTTCTTTTCAAAAAGCAAGAACAGTCAAGCCTGGAAGTAACCAAGTATAAAGCAAGAAATCCAGTTAAGCTTAAGAGAATGAATCACTTCACTTTCATTTTCTGTGTTGCATGTTTTCCTTTTCCTTTCCCCAAGTGTCAGTTGTCTATCACTGCTATTCCAAACACACAGACAGACAGACAGACACACACACACACGCACACAGACACACACAAAACAAGGGAGAAGGAAGAGAGAAAAAAAGGATTACTTTGTAAGGTGGGTACTTTAGGTTATTTCAGAGAACATTAATTATTTTACAAAGGAGAATTTGACTAGAGGAAAAAAAAATCCTCCAGGGAGATTTTCAAAAAGCCTACTTTAAACTAGAAACGGTTGTCAAATACTTTGCACTCAAGACTTCATACACCGTGCAGGGGCAGTGGGTCACAGGTGCTTGCTACAAAAGTCCCAGCACCTGGACTCTGCCTCATCAAGCTCCAGCTGCACAGCTGAGCTGCGTGGCACACACACATTGCAGAAGAAAAACAAATAGAGAAGAGAGCACCACATAGTGCTATGCCGGAATGCTGAGTTTTGAGTGATATGTTTTTGTTCTTTACTCTGGCCTTTTTTTTTTTGCTCATGTTTATTTAATGGGATAAAATAAACACTGATTTGATGACCAACTACATTTCTCTTTGTCCTTCAGGCCTCAAATCCCTGCCAAAAGCCTACATGGTACATCTTAAATGGCAGGGCCACTTCCAGAACTCCCCAGAGGGCGGAGCAGTCCACTCTTGGTCCTGCCCCACCCACAAAGGATGGGAATCCAACACATGAGTCACTTGGAAGAGGATACACCTGTAGACACCTCTTACCACATAGACATTCAACCTACTGTGGCCCTGCTTGGGGAGCTCCAGTCACAGACAGACTTGAGGAGGGCACAAGCCCCATTGTACCAGCTGCACCACAGAGAGAGGGCCGTCACAACTGTCTGATCCAAACTGGAGTTCCAAGCAGGAAAGCAACATGTCCAAGAATCTACTGGGGCTACATGTGGCAAGTACTGAGGTGGGAGGAACCCTCAGAACCTCCAGAGGTACGTGAGCCTCTGAGAAATCTGGTCTTCCTCTCACCCTTTATGCTTGCCAATCTCTCACCCCCACCGTCCTCTTCTTCCTGTCTCTTCTCTCCTCTTATCCCAACCTTAGATTCCAGGATAGTCAAGAAGAGATGGAGGAAACTGAATGTGGTCCCTGATTATTTTAGGGGACAAGGGTGCCACAAGTCTTTTAGCAAGTACTAGGCAAATACATAAAAGAAGTTGACAAGGAACCTCCATCCATCTTCAGAGAAAGCAGAAAAACACTGACTTGTTTGAGACTGCCACACAATGAAGGTTACATCCTGCACTCTTTGGTGACAAATCCTGACCATATATCAAACTAAAAGCTCTTAATCACTTAAACACCTAAATGCAAAAACATAAATCCCATTCCCAGCATGAACCCTTCTCTTGCTCACAAATCAAACCAGGAGAAAATGCTGAGATTTACCCTTAAGCCTCAATGTATATTTGAATTTGGAGTTTACAGCTAGTTTTCTTTCCTGCTCTGATATGTTATCTTCAGAATAACTACTATTTTCAACCTTTCCATAACCAAGTACAATTCACAAAATTTGTTCTGCTATTTGTCTAAGATTATAACTCTAGCATGTTTGTAATATTTTTCTTTCAAAAGCCTACAAAATTAACACCTTAGACAAAAAAAATTAACTTTAATAATCATTCATGGTTTTTTCCAGATACATCACACTGTCTGGAAAGGAGTATGACAAGGACAGTTCATCCAATTCTTACAGAAAGCAAAAGCATTCTCAAGCCAGTATTTACAAGAATCAGGCTAAGGCCAACACAGAGCTGGGAGATGATTTCAGTCCCTCTACATCCTTCCGGAAAGCTAACCATCACACATAACTTCCCAGTTGAACTGGAGGACTAAAGAATGCAGGAGACAAGGTCAAAGTCATCAAACAAAAAGAACTACAATATTTCTTGCTAATTTTACTATAAGAATCTTTTCATTCAATGCCACAAAGTCACACATAAGGACCCGTCCCACAGCATTTAACCGTCACCATTTTAGACTCTCTGGATACATGAAGCCGTTCAGCTACAAATAATCTGAGAAAATGGCTCCTTTGAAAAACTGACTCATGCCTTTGTAGTGCTCTAAATGACAAAGCTCATGCCAAGAGCACCAAAGCCTTGCAACAGGAGATGACTTATTTTCAATGCAGTAGAAAACACTCATATTTTCAAGTCTTCATTTTTATACCTGTAACTAATGTGTCTCCGTAGAAGGCTTTGAACTCATTGAATCTGCTTCCGTCCACAATTCTAGCAACGACCTAAGAGGAAAAAATGACAGTATCCCTGAGAAATTATATCACAAAAGAATTATTGTACTACAGTTATTTATAAGGAAAACAATTCACAGTCGTATTGTCACTTTCACAATATTTCATCCTACACTGAAAATCCCTCTAGAATTTCACTTGACATGTCTGGTTAATGCCAAAAAGACATTCTGAGCTCCAATTTTATGCCTTATGGTAAGGCAAGAGCACCATGCTGCACACAAAAGAAGCAACAGAGACTTCCGGTGCTGGTGGCTAGGCTCAGAGCTCCAGGGAACATTCAATGCCTCTGTGAGGGTCAGAGATTCAATCAGAAGCAGGGCACATTGATGCCCTGGAGCCAGAGGACATCAGTTCCAATCAAAGGTATTACCTATGATCTGAGTGTCCCAGAGTAAGTCATTTAGCCAGCATCTCAGTCTTTGCTTCTGGAAAGAGGAAACAGAGTCAGGAAGACATGATGAACAAGGAGTAAAGGAAAGTATGAAGATAATGATGAGAAGAAGAGTCAGCTCTGACTCCCAACTCTACCACTGAAAAACCAGTCATCCTTAAAAGTGTCTGGGGATGTAGCTCAGCAGTAGTGTGCTTGAATAGCACGGGCAAGGCCCAGGGTTCCATCCCCAGCACTGCCAAAAAAGAAAATAACAACTTAAAATCCTCTAAGCCTCTTTCCTCATCTGGGGTTTTTGGGTTTTTTTTAAAGATAACACTTAGAGCTCAGCCTTTCAGAGACCCCTCCCATATGGGGGCTCTCCCTCTCTTTTCCTCTTGGCTAATAAACCTGCTCTTTTGCTCAAAAAAAAAAATTTAAAGAGTACTAACTAAAGCATACTGACTAGCTCTCATGAAAAAGTATTACTATTATTATTATTATCATCATTGAGCCCTAAATAAATGCTCACTGATTCTGAATCTGATGTACTTGAGGGAACAGCCACATATATTGTTAATCAGGAGCGGAAGTCACGGAGAGCTCATGCCATACACCAGAACCTACTCAAGCACCAAAAGAAAAGCACAAGGTGTGAACATGAAGCGCACTCCAAACTTAAGCCATTTTAGATGCTGCATATGAGATGTCTATATTGTTCACAGCCTTTTTTTTTTGTAAGATGCAAAGGGTGAAAAATGAGAGAATGTGTACCAACATCTTCCTCTTCACAAAGCAAAAGCTTACTTTGAATTATTTTCTAGATATTCTCCTTACTATAGATATGTAACAGGTGTCTGTTTTAGATGCTATGAATCTCCAGAATGAACCACTTAAACAAACCATGAACATGTAACTGTCATTCTCCCACACAAAGATGAAGCTTCTCGAGGGCACAGCAATGTAGGGCCACTTAGTATAAAACCATCTTGTACTTGTTTAAAGCTAACACACCCTCCTCCACCACACACAGCATTGTCACAAGAACCCACACTTCACAAGAACCCACATTTCAGGATCAGATGGATAATCCAGTACTATTACTATTTCTAGGAGCAGAAACCAATGTGCAGAGAGGTGAAATCCCAGTACAATGGACAGGGAGATTAAGGACGAGGGTTTTCCAGTTCAGATTCCAGTGCCATCCCCAGTTCCATATGCCATCCAGACCTCTGTGCAAGGTTTATTTGCTATCAGCGAGAAATATAATAAATTATAATCACAATTATGAGCATGAAGCAGCAAAAAGTGGAAGTCTAGGTGAGTACTTAAGAAGGCAAGAGTAAAGCCAGGTGTGGTGACACGTTACCTGAATCCCAGCACTCAGGAGGCCGAGGCATGTCCATATAATGGAATAATGCATCTATCAACTCATACAAAAAATATTTACTAAGTGCCTACCATGTTGCTAGGCACTATGACAAGAATTAGGACCTAGCCATAGAAAATGTTTCCTTAAGAATTTTAAGGACAAGGGGCAATGTTTATAACTCAAGCTGGGAAAACACAGTTTTTAAAATTAATATGTATATAATACATCATTTTCTTGTACAGACAAGAAAAAAGTCTGTACATGTTCAGTAAAGATGGAATTTTTTAAAAAAATATTTCTGTCTGTGGTTGGTAGAATCCATGAATGCAAAACCCACAGATACAGAGCCCATGGAGGAGAGCCAGATGTATGTACACATTGAACCAAAAGCATCAAGACATTAGCTGTTCTCTTTAGATGGTTTTTTCTTTTCTGCATTTTGTACATTTTTAATAACTAGTACATAATAGTTTTATAGTCAAAACAGGAAAGAAACTGAAAATATTAAAGCATCTCATAAAGAACTCATATAAAGATGAGTTTTCTAATTTAAAAATTATTCTGCTAGCTATGTATACCAAATAAAATAAAAGCCTACATGCTCCAAGCAAACACTAAAAATTGTCACTCTAGATTACAGAAGACTTTGTCACCATCTGTAACCATAGCAACATCTCCAACTGTAATCAAGTCTACTCTTCACTAATGTCATATTGATCTAGAAGGGTTTTTTCTTTCAATGACTTACTAATGTTTCATCCATTTTCCAAAAGAACACTGAAAAGAAGGAGCTGAATATTGTGAGGTTATTCTGCATGGTCCTAACATCCACAGGAGTTATGCAGTCCTTGCTGTGAACAAACCAAGCTTTGTTGTGGTGCACTGAAAACTTCCTACTCAGGAAGAGACCTTTCTCCCACTCTTTCAGCATTTACACTATGGAAAGACATCGCTCCCACATAGGTCAGTTCCTTACTGAGATCCACTCACCCCTATGCACAGAAACATCCTAACCAACTAGCTTGGAAATGGACACATACAGACTGAGCACGGCTGACAGCTCACAGTTCCATCCCACATACCTCTCGGACATCAAAGTTCCTCTTAAGGTTGGCACCAACTATTCCATACAATTCGTCAGCAGGAAATAAAGGTTCTTCAGAAGGTTCAACAGTAACCTATAGAAATTTAGAACACTTATCTTTAAACACCTGCTTAAAGACGTAATTCAGGTGGTATAGTCCATAATGCTTTGCAGGAAAATAAAAGATGGAAAAATAAATGCTACATACATCCAATTTCTTCTGATAATTGAGACTCCTCACAACCTTCCTAGTTAAGTGAAGGGCATGGTGGTCATCTAAAGCATAGTGGTCGATGACTCCAGACTTTCTGCAGAGTAAAGCATATGACAATAATCAGAACTGGGGAAAGGAAAGCACTTAAACATCTTAAACCCTAAATACTCTCTCTCGTCTAAGAATGGCAGCACTTTTACTTTCAAACACCTTAATAAATGGCACCTTATTTGTTCCATAATATCCCTGGCAAAAGAGCATCATCCTCATTTCACAAACAGGACAGACAGAGGCACACATAGGTTAAGTACTTTGCCTTAGGACCAGTAGAAACTACATCAGAGCCCACATCTCCTGTTTCTCAACCCTGACCTTCTGCTAGATGGGGTGGCCTTGCTGGCACAGCTTCAATTAAGTGCTTGAGCCATGTACCTCAAACAGAATGACATATGATGTCCAACCACAGTTAGCACACATTCACAATATAGCTGATAACAGCACAGAGAGTTTGTACCCAACTGGACTTCCAGTGAAGACGCTGACCATGGTGTCCTATACACTGCCGAGCCTCCTTCTTACCAAGTACACCCAAGTTGTCATTGCTAACAAACAAAAAGACTTGAATACAGTGTCCATTGGGTCATGGGTAAAAATATGTGCAAAATGAGGAGTGATAAAATGGTTCTGTGGTGAGTGCCATTTCCATTTCAAATGCAGTGAATGAAGCATGGGCTTGCTCTGGTGATTAGTTTGGTCCCATTCAGACGACTTATTATTTCAGATGTTGATGTACTAAAACTTCCTAATAAAGTACTCTTAAAATCTGAAATTTGGGCAAAAACATATACCTGAAAAAAAGAGAGGTTTGGTTCACTTTATGAGTAAGGACTAAGCAGCTATACTCTAAAGTCCTGATATCTGGCCTAGGGAAACCACCCAACCATGAGGAGACACTGAGCTGGGCTGTCACAGTGCTTTCACGTCACTCTGCCTCTGGAGTGGGTGTTCCTAAGTTAATAATAGAGACCACGTTCATTCCTCTTTATAGGTCTCCATTGCCTCACATGTGGTAGGCCATTCAGGTTCTTTATACAACTGACTCCATCTTTTCAATATTCGCAAATAAAACCAGCTATAATGGCTAACTTCTAACTACACTGCAATTTGGTAAGAAAAAGAAATATGATTTCTTCCAAATCATCAAATATTTAAAATACAATGCTTTCTTATAAAAAACTGCCTAATATTTATCAAAACAGCAGCAAAGGAAGTCTTTATATCAAATTAAATCTTAAGGAAGACTAATGAGAGAAGTCTGAATATGTAGTTACAATGACAGACAGAACCCAAAGCAATTTGTGACTAGTAAATTTTATAACACTGTTTTTTATAAAAGCCATCATCACCTAATCATTTTCCCATGATTTTAAACAGATTATCATGAACAATAGTAAGTAATACTAACCCAATGTCTGGTATGCACTAACTGTGCTGTGAGGCAGGTACTACCTCTAACTTCATCTTACACATGAGCTCAAGGAGGCTACATCACAAGGGTGTGAAGTAAGACAGACTGAAGATGTGTTCCAGAATCTACACCCCTAACTTGACAGACTACCTATAGTTTTACTTTTTTTAAAAAGCAAACTTTTAAAAAGGAAAAAGTCGAATTTTTCTATAAATAATTTATTCCTCAAATCTTACATTCTTCTCCCCTGATCAAGCACTTACATACAATACAAGTCCACTTTGTCCTCTGCTCCTTTGTCACCTTTTTCTACCTGCTGCCCCATTCTCTCCCAGTGGAAATGCCCATACTGGCCAGGCTAACACTTTGCCAGTCTCCTTGTGATGGTCAGAAAACGGCCAGGTACACAGCTGCCCCTGTGCTCACAGCTATGCTCTCTGAAACACAAGAGTGTCTACTCAAACTATGGCAGCTCTCAGCTTTCCTCCAACTACGTCAGTAACACCCTACTCATTCCTTTAGTTATTCTTCCTTTAGCCTCTGATTGTAAAATTGGAAGCATGCTGGCATACTTATTTGTAATATTTTTAGTTCACTAATTTACTTCTCTTATCTGCATAATTAAATTTTAAATCCTTGAGGGCAGGGACTACATCTAAAACTTTTCTGCATACTTAGTATACACTTAGTACACTTAGAACAATCTATGTGCCAACAACAAGTGCTCAGTGTGAAAGGAATGAGTGAGTGAGTGAATGAACAGATGAATGAAGAGTGAATGAAAAGCTGAGAAAAAGGTCTCTTGATCAACTAATCAAAAGGCATGGGAGTTTTTTGAAAGGAAAGCAGACATGTTATCACACCATCCTCCTCTCATCCTGGACTCTTCCCATAGTCACCTGACTCCCTGGGATTATAGTAGGGCAGAACAAAGGGTACCTGCAAGGCCAATGAACTTGATAGTTACATCTACTTGTCATTCAGGGTACAGTGTTGAGCCCAAGGTGAGCCCAGACAGTTCCACAGTTTTAAATGCCACCTCTATGCAGTTGACTCCCAAATAAAGACCTCCAGTCCTGATCTGGCCTACTGCCTGCTCAGCAATCTCTACTTCCATGTCTGACAGCAACTCTAGCTTCCCAAGTCTAAAAAGAATACTTGATCCCCCGTCCCAGCCCCAAATCTGTTCCTCCTCCAAAAATGTCAGGAATTAAATAATTTCATATCATCTTTACCACTTCACTGTCCTGTATCCCCTAAAAAAAAATTCCCAAGTCTGGAAAATAAAACAATGCCTGGTACACAATCCATGCTCAAGGGCTGTTAAAATAAATAAAAGCCCTGGCTCGCCAGTCCTTCTCAGCTATGATGAAAAGCTTGAAGGTGCAATTCTACAGTTTGAAGAATCCAACCCAGACCTGTAGACTGGGAAACAAATCAACTATGGTTTGGTCTGGAAGGCTAAGCACTGAGAAAGAAATCACATAAAATTTCTTCTAAACAAACAAAATTACCATCAAATCCTAAAAAAAGAAACAACTAGTCCTGTTTCACCTGCAATGAAGGTCAGCTCCTCCAAGATCCTCAGCAGATACCTCTTCACCAGTGGCCGCTTTAACCTACAAGGATAGAATTCAGCAGTGAGACAGGTCCACAGAAGACACACAATGCATATCTAATAAGCACATCTCCTAAGCTGACTACAGCCATACTCTTCCTTCCACAAAGCTAAAGAACATTGAGTTTTCCCATTCTACCTCCAGAAAACCAAGAAAATATGATCTCTACCTACAGATGAAAACCCTGAACCCAGACTCACAAGGACACACCCCAGTCCCCCAGCAAGTGAAGAGCCTGACATAAGCTAGGTATTAACCACCAAAAGCTTCCTCCCTCCCCAACACTCGTGGCAAAGACTTTAAGTACAAGTGTTCCCCCGCTACCTGGGATTCCCTCTTTTCTCACCTACCTGGTGAGTTCCCTCTTAGCCTCCAAGGCCCACCTCCCGCAGTCCTCAGGATGAATGGCACCCTGTGGTGCTAACAGTAAAGCTGGCCTAGCCATCATCCCAGAGAACTCCTCTCACACCTGCCAGACCACATTGAGGTAATTTGTCAGCTCTCTACTGTGGCTTCCTTGGGGGCATGGGCTGTGATTTATTCATCTTCAGATATTCAATGACTAGGCTGAAAAATTCAAGTTATTACCACCAACTTTGTGTTATACTTTTAAATGGAAAAATATCTGGATTACCTAAATCTAAGACCCAGCAGAATGTGAGCAAAAAGGAAGAAACCTCAAGTAATAAATCAAGAATGACTTAATTATAGCCAGAGACATTGCAACAGGGAAAAGAAAGAAAAATCATTTAATGCTAAATGCCAACCTGATCCTGTAGGAATTATTCATTGATTCCTACTTCTTTGGGTTGGTTAATTTGTTCTTCTTCTTCACATAGGAAAAGTTTTTATTAGAATAATAAACATTAACCTAAGATACTGCACAGAAGTGACTTATTATTTACTACATCAGAAGCTCTGTCTTAAATAAGGTATCTTTTCAGAGGGAGAGGTAATTAATGTTTTACCTCCAATTATTCTACCCCCAGAAATCAATTACTGGTGTTCTTCTTTCCAAAAAGTCCAGTGTAAAATGGCATTCAGTCCAGACAACAACTAATTAGAAGAGGTGTCTGAATAAAGTTGTAAGAAGGAATAAACAACAGATATACTGTGTTTATTTTCAGGGATCTGACTAATATTAACTGAAAAAAATAAGGACTTGTCATCAGTTAATATTTACTAAACACCCACAGCATGTTTGATACTGTGATAGGTACAAAGATGAGAAAAGAGAGAATTAAAACAGCTCATTCGACTAAAAAACAAGTTCAGAAGATAAGTGAGACGGGAATACAAAAAGTTCCCTCAAAATGGATTTTATCACTACCCATTTGTTTCAGCTACCCTCTAAGCTACTGAGAGTACCTGCCACCAAAGCCCATACTATACTGGAAACCTACAAACCCTTTTTTCGACTTTGTGTAAATAGGTGTTAGAATTGAGAATTCTCAGGAGAAAGGCTGCTGCTTTTCCTCCCCTAAATATGGCCTTCCAAAGGCCACTGATGGGGTTCAGTCCTCTAGAGAATTGGCTGCCGAGTTGTTTCTTTCTAATGTCCAAATTAAATCTGAACCTACCCATCTGAACAGATGCTACACTACTGATCCTGAACAAAACTGTCAGTATAAAACACTTAGCATTATTTCAGTGCTATGCTGCTGCCTCTCCCTCTGACAGAGGCTTTCACATGTCACTCCTACCTTAACCAATTTTCTAGTGAAAAATAAATAAAAGCCTTCATGAAAGTTCATGCCCTCCATCAGGCAAGGGTAACCAGGTGTGGGGGCTCACCCCTGTAATCCCAGCACTTGGGAGGCTGAGGCAGGCAGATCTCAAGTTTGAGACCAGTCTGGGCTATATAGTAAGACCCTGTCTCAAAAAAACTGTAAACAGTGAGTGCATTTTCCTCTCATTAACCAATGACAGCTATCCTGTACAGCACAGGAAACACTAAAGAGTAAGAACACAGCAGAGTTTTTGAACAATGCCTTGAGACTTTCATCACATTTAAAATAGCAGCTCCTCAGGCTTACCTTGTCTTCCAGAAGAGTTATCAAAAATTAACACAATCATTTGAGAAATACATTTATTTTACATCAAAGCATGAGCTCTTTTTATTAGTATTCTAGAATCAAAGATGTTCTTTGACAGACTTTTGAAGCAACACATTTACTTTGAGGGACAAAATCTGCCATTTTTAAGCATACGATTCACTGGCTTTCAGTGTAATCACAAGGCCATGCAACTATCACCTCTACTTAACTCCAGAATGTTTGAAACACCACACTCATCAGCAGTCATCCCCACTCCACCCTCCTCCAGTCTCTGGCAACCACTAGTCTACTTCTCATCTCTATGAATTAGGCTATTCTGAATATTTCACAAAAGTGGAACATGTTTTTCCTTTTGTGACTAACATAACGTTCTCAAGATTAATCCATGTTGTAGCATGTGTCAGAACTTCATTCGTTTTCATGCCTGAATAACATTCCATTGCATGTATATTATAGTTTTTGTAATTTTCTCAACTTCCTTCTTTCTTACATTGATGGAATATTCTGTTGTAAGGTATAGTAATTACTTGTGTCTTTATTGCTTTGAGTCTAAGATTGTGATGTGATAGAAGCATGACACCATGGATACATTACTGAAAATCACTGGCATGGAGTCAACCAAAGGGAGGTAAGGAAGAGCCCAGGATGACATATTACAGTCATCACAAGCAGGTGATGAGTGAAGCTACACTGAGCACCACTCTCAGAAGAACCTCATGATTGGAGTTTAATGCTCTGTGGTCACCCCCTAAAAAATTCTTAATCTTTGAGCCAGGTGTGGAAGTACCATTCTATAATCTTAGCACTCAGGAGGCAGAGGTGGGAGAATCACTTAAGCTCTGGAGTTCAAGACCAGCCTGGCAACATTGCACTCCATCTCAAAAACAAAAAGAATTCTTGATCTTTGAATTCTTTTTCTGGTGCTGAGGATTGAACCTAGAACCTTGCATGTGCTAAGCACTGCTCTACCACTGAGCTACACCCCCAGCTTAACTCTTTTGAGCATGAGTTTTACAAGTGATGTGGGAGGGGATGATGGAGCACATGCCTTGGCACTTGTGCCTCAATTCTTTCCTGTGCTGCCTCCCACCAACTCCCAGGAAGGGTTCAGCTCCCTGCTTTCCCCCACCTGTGTATGACCCTGGGTGCTGGCCTACCTCCTCCGCCCCATCCCTGCCTAGTAACTGTTGCATATACCCAATAGGGGTGCAGAGTGCATGCAGGGAGGAGTCCCTCTCAGGGTGGAGCACAAGATGACTCTCACTGTCTGCGCCTGGCAATGCCAAGGTGTGCTATCCAGCTGGGGATACAGTGGACAGTGTGGACTGAGGATTAGTCTTTTCCCACTACCCATCCAAGGGGCCAAGTGCATACATCCTAGCCCGGGGGATGCATGTCTTGCATCTGCTGTGGGACGGTGGGTGCCTGGGAAGGAGAGTATCCTGTGCCAGGATAAAAAGTGAATTTAAAAACACATGACCAGGATAGGGAAAGGGACCATAAAAGAAAGGAAGATGCTTCATATTTTAGTTCCCTTACTAAGCACGTTTTTCCTACCTTTAAATAAAGAGCCCCAATTTTTCATTTTGTGCTAGGACTTACACCCGAAACTACCAGTGCTTCATAAAGGTTGCTAGTACCAGAAATTTAGAGCATCTCTCCCAACTATTCTAACTTAGTGCTATTTGATTTTTGAAAAACTTTTTTTAATAGGTCATGCATTCAAAAGGCTTAAAAAGACAAAGGTCTGTTTTATCTCCTACACATTTATCGTGTCTGCTCCAGAATGTCTTTGTGCATACATGAGTATATAAATGTGTATTTTCCTCAATTTTATACAAAAGTCATTTGCTGTGTGAGCACCTTGCTGTTTCACTCCATAATTTATCAACTTTATTATTACTAGCACCAATTTATTGGCCCTGAGTCAAACAGCAGTAAAGATGAGATAGAAGGAAAAATAACAAGATTAGTTCTTCACCCACAGCCACCCAGTAGAGAAAGGGCAGTTCTATGTACAAATGACACTGAGACAACTGCATATCCACATATGAAGCCATGCCTCACCCCAACACCAACTCAAAATGGACCACAAAACAAATGTAAGAGCTAAAAGTATATGATTCTCAGAAAACAAACCAGCAAATCTCCACAATCACGGACTGTTAGACATGACACCAACAGTACAAGTGACAAATGGAAAAAATGCATAAATTGGGCTTTGTCAAAATTAAAAACTTCAATAGCTGGGTGTGGTGGCATGTGCCTGTCACCCCAGCCACATGGGAGGCTGAGATCAGGAGGACTGCAGTTCCAGACCAGCCTGAGCAAAAAGTTCAGGAGACCTTGTCTCAAAAAAAAAGTTGGGCATGGTGATGCCTGACTGTCATCCCAGCTACTGTGAGAAGCCCAAATAGGAGGATCATGATCCAACCTGGCCCTATCTCAAAAATAATCAAAGCAAAGGACTGGAGGCATGGCTCAAGCAGTAGAGCACCTGCCTAGCAAGTGCAAAACCCTGAGTACCAACTCTAGTACTGCCAAAAAATAAAGAAATAGATAAAATAAAACCAGCAACAACAAAAAGAATGAAGTGAGCAGGGTATGGTGGTACACACCTGTAATCTTAACTACTTGGGAGGCAGGGACGGGAGGCTTATGAACACAAGGCTAGCCTAGGCAAAGTTAGCAAGACCCTATCTCAAAAATAAACTAAAAACAAAAGGACCAGTGGTGTGGCTCAAGTAGTAGACTAATTACCTAGCAAATGAGGCTCTAGGTTCACTTTTCCCACACACAAAAAAGAAAAAAGTGATTCCTAAAAGAAATTAAACACAGAGTACCATATAACCCAGTGATCCACTTCTAGCTATAGACCCAAAGGAAATGAAGACAGGGACTCAAACAGATGTTCTTATTTACCCATATCCATAATAGCATTATTCGTCACAGCCCCAAAATTGAAATAATCATGAATGAATAAACAAAATGTGGTATATACATGCAATGGAATATCATTCAGCCTTAAAAAAGAATGAAATTTTTTTTGACACTTACTACAACATACACAAGCCCTACGGACATCATGCTAGGTGAACCAGTCACAGAAGGACAAACACTGTATGCTTCTACTCACAACGAGGTGCCCAGAGCAGTCAGTCATGGAGTCAGAGTGGAGAATGGTGGCTGCTCAGGCAATACAGGTGGCAAGAACAGGGAGTTAGTGTGAGATGAAAAAGTCCTGGTTGGAGCCAAGGCTCAAGCAGCTCAGAGCACTTGCTGAGCAAGTGCAAGGCCCTGAGTTCAAACCCTAGTGCCACCAGAAAAAAAAATTAAAAAGACCTGGAGATGGAGGGTGGTGATGGTTGATGGTAATATGAATATGTTTAACGACAGAAAACTGTACACTTAAAAATTATTTAGAAGGGGGCAGTGGGTTGACTCAAGTGGTAGAGCACCTGCCTAGCAAGCATGAGAATCTGAGTTCAAACTCCAGTAATGCCAAAAAAAAAAAAAAACAAAAATAAGCGCCTATACAGAAGAAAAAAATTAATGTTATATATAAAATATTACATAAAACAGCCTATTTTAAAACTACCAAAAATAGTTTAAATGGTACATTTTCTGTTCTGTAATATTGAACTTCAACCAATCAATCAGCTGAGATTACATTCTTACCAAGGGGGGTCCTGCCAAGAAAACGGTGCCCTGCTTGCGGACGATGATGTTCTCATCAGCCATCGCGGGCACATACGCACCTCCTGCTGTACAGGAGCCCATGACGACCGCTATCTGGAAAAGAAGCCACAAAGCCCATGAGATAAGCTCAAACAGTGAAGGGCACAGTGCTACCCTGCAGCCCCACAAACAGGGCTGAGATCAGGGGTATTAGTAGCTGATTCCTGGGCTTCATTTTAAAAATGGGGCCCTCAAAATATTTGGAATCATTTCTTCTTCTCTCTCTCTCTCTCTTCTTCTTCTTCTTCTTTTTCTTCTTCTTCTTCTTCTCCCTCTCTCTTTTTTGACACAAAAAAATATGTATCTTGCTATATAGCCCAAGCTGGTCTCAAACTCCTGATACTCCTGCCTCAGCCTCCTGAGTGCTGGAACTACAGGTGTGTGCCAACTACACCTGGCTAGTATATAGTTCCTTGATTTCTTATACCAAAACATTTTGAAGAGCTTATGTCACACTTTTTACAAAATACATGTATGATCACTCCATCAGAGAGAAGACTGAACTCATAAACTGTTAACTTGAGCAACTAATGGAGAGAAGAAACCCATACATAATACACCTAACAACAAAACTGCATCAAAAGGGTAACTTTAAAGTCAATAATAATAGTCAGTCCTCTAAATAATCACTGCTTACCTCATAGGAAAACTAAAATAATCCTTCAAATGAGTGTTCTTAGGGTTTGTGGAGTGACTCATGAGTTACATAAGAGCATTTACCTAGCAAGCGTGAGGCCCTGAGTTCAGACCCCAGTGCCACACAAAAACAAACAAACAAAAATGGGTGTAGTTAACATTTTGTGCTACCCCAAATATATTTATATTTTCTAAATATAAGATTAATGTTAAGATTGTAGTTAAAAATCTTGCTCAAAAGAAAGTGAATTGTGTTGAAACTGGGAGTTCACAGTACTAGTTTCTTGACTGTTGCATGTTTAAATGAAGTTTTCCATTTAAAAAAAAAATGAGATGTGGTTCAAGTGGTAGAGCACATGCTTTGCAATCATGAAGCTCTGAGTTCAAACCCCAGAACTAGAAATTCCTTACCAGAGTTTAGTATGACACAAAGAATATTAAATGTGGGTTTAGCTGATGAGCTCTAGATAGAAAAAAAAAAAGCATCAAAGAAAAATAAGAGAAATATATAATGGATTTTTAAATTATCAAAATTTGCTAATTCCAATATACCATCAGAGTGGCTTACAATCATTCAAGAATTTGTTTTGAAAAACACCAACACCATACTAGTTTTCAGCCAAAACTGAAAGGACCATGAGGTAACATTTTTTCATCTAAATGGCCTTCCCAAGAAGCCTGTTTTCCTAAACTAAAAGTTCCATGTATGTTATTAAAAGTGCTGCAACATTTACTTGTCAACATATTACAGAGGTGTAATTATTGTTCTGCTTATCAGTCAGAAGATTGTTAGATATCTGTGGCCACAAAAACTCTTGCCCAGGCACACAAGGAAACAACTCACTATAGCCATGTTCACAACAGCAAAAAGATGCAAAGAACCAAAGCATCTGTTGACACATTTTGACTGGCTAAATGAATGGTGGAGAGATACATTCTTTATGGAAAATAAGTTTTTTAAAACCTGAGGTGAAAATAACAAAAACAAATGCCAGCACAATAAGTTTGGGTGGTTACATGAGGGTTCAATTATCTTCTGTATTTTCTGAATATTTCAAATATCTTATGGGGCTTCTTTTTTTTTTTTTTAGGTTCTGTGGAGAGCAAAGGACACAATTTTACCTTGTCATCACATTCTCTACACTAGCATGCCAGATTCAACTCAAACTATTTCAGTATTCAAAAGAAAAATAGTCAAGGAACTTAGTCACAATTTTAGAATCTAAAAGGGAGAGTTTTCAAAAATAAGACCTGAAGAACTGAACGGGCGTGAATCACCAGAGAGCAAGAGGGGAGGAAAGAAGAGCAACTATCAGCAAGCATTCAAGATGAGGCGGGGAGGGGGGGAGGAGCCAGGGAGGCCATTCTGTCAAAATGCATTACACCACCTTCTATGGAATGAGTGACCATGTCCCCCACACACCCGAATTCATACACTGAAGCCCTATCCCCCCTTGTGATTTGGAGGCGGGCCTTTGGGAGGCGACTGGGTTTAGATGAGGTCATAAGGGTGGAGCCCATGATGGTACTAAGGCCCTAGCAAAAAGAGAGGACAAAACCTTTCTGCCAAGAGAGGACAAAACCAGGATGAGAAGGAAGTGGTCCCTTACCACAAACCTAACCACGTTGGCACTCTGACCTCTGAAGATGTCCAGCCTCCAGAACTGGGAGAAATAAATGAGTGTTGTTGAAATCAGCTAGCCTATGATAACTGTATACAGCAGCCCAAACTGTCTAGGACACCAGCAGGGCAGAGGGGTAGAAAAGTCTAACAACTGAGTAGCTGACAGGTTCTGGGATAATCTGTCTTGCGGAAATAGATAACTAGCAGAGAGATCAAAAAACATCCATTTACTCGGCACTGGTGGCTCACACCTGTGATCCTGGCTACTCAGGAGACAGAGAGGATCAAGGTTTGAAGTCAGCCCTGGGGAAATAGTTCTTGAGGCCCTATTTCAAAAAACCCTTCAGAAAAGGGATGGTGGAACGGCTCAAGATGTAGGCCCTGAGTTCAAACCCTAGCACTAAGGAAAAAAAAAAGAAAGAAACATCTGTCTTAGGCTGGGGATGTGGTTCAGTAATATAGCACTTGCCTAGCATGGGGCAAGGCCATGGGTTCAATCCCTAGCACTGCAAAAGAAAAAAAAGTCTATTTTAGGCAAGAACAATTGAAGCACATCTAATTTTATTAGCATAGTCACATGCTGTGTTACTGTGTCACATATACTGTGTTAGCATACTGCTTACAAACACGGATGCATTCTGACAAATCAATCCTTAGGCAATTCCACCATTCTGCAAATATCACTGAGTGAACGTATGCAAACTAAGAAGGCTACAGCATCACTAGGTGATATGGTATGAGGACCACTTTTGGATATGTGGTCCGTCATTACCCAAAACACCATTACTCAGTGAATGGCTAGATTTTTATTGTTGCTCGTCAAAGAACCTCTGTGTAAACCATTCACCTATTCTAAAGATGGAATCATATGTAGACTTCTGCACTATCCCAGTGATAAAAAGCCAAGAGCAACACATGAATAAATCTTAACACCATTACGTTAAATGAAAGAGACCAGTTACAAAGACCACTTATTATATAACCCCATTTATAGGAAATTTTCAAAACATTTAAATGTATGTAAAGTAAACTAGTAGTTGCCTGTGACTAGGGGGAGGGGTAGGACACAAGGTAGAAACTAGGAGTAACTGCTAATGGTGAGATGAGAACACTAAACTTGACTCTGTGATACCTAAAAACTACTGAATTTTAACACAGAAAATGGATGAAATATGTGGTATCTTAAAGCTTTTATGAAATTTAAAAAACATAAGAGCTAGAGTTACTAAGTACATAGAAATCCAAATTCTCAAATGTTTTATCAATAAGAGGACATCCTAGTCACAAGCATTTACTAAGCAAAAATTTAATATTGCTCAAGCAAATGCTAATGAAAGAAAGCTTAAATAAAAGAACACAGATAAGTCACCAATGACCAGTCACTGTCATACAATCTCTTCTCATCATTTAATTCCAAGTCACTCATTCATCCACAAAGGGAATGAAGTGGATGTGTTCAAGAAGAATTCCACCACTGGGGCTACTTCTGCTCACAAAGCCCAGGAATCCCAGAGCCAGACAGCACTGACCACTTCTCTCGGCCCAAAGCATTTACCTTCAGTCCAACAAAGACCTTACATGAGGCCAACTGAACAAAAGATCTGCACCCTGGGACAAAAATTCTGCTGCATTCTCCACTACCAGGAATTGAGAGGACGTAAGATGCATGACCATAGCTTTTCTGACCACACTCAGAGGTCTAGATTTGGCTTGTGTTGCAGGCACAACACTGGCATTGTGCCAGGAGAGCTATCACGAGGACCCTCATCTGCATCAGGACAAAGGTGACCTCCAAGAACACTACTGAGAGGCAACAGTCCACCAAGTGGCCAGTGACAGGAAAAAGTCCAGAGGTCCCTCTTGCAGACTCTATGGAGTCTAAGACATGAATCAAGAGCAAGCAATCAGAAGATAGTTGCAAATGACAGGTAGCTGACAGGAACAATCCTTTTCATGGCTTCCACAAGCAAAACTTCTAGTTAAAAGGATATAAGACGCTACAAAATAAAGGCAAGCAGCTGGGAAAACACTAAACACAATTTCATTACCCTCCAGGTCCTCCCTGAGCAAATACAGACTGGTTCTCATTGCACCAAAAATGAATTACACATTGCAGATCAGTAGAATGTCCTATGGAAAGGATCTTGATTGGGAGTCAAGAGGTTCTGTGCCTGATTCTGAAAAGCTGTGATCTCTGGACCTCCATTCTCCCACTGTAGAATTGGAGATGCCTCTCCAGTTCAAGGAAAACTGTGATAAATGCACCTGAACTTGGGGGAATGTTCCAAATGCTGGACAGAAAAACCATTAAAAATGTAATTATGTATTTTCTTCTAAATCTTTCACCCAACTTCTTTTTTTCCTTGCTGTAATTGTGGGAAGCAGATATTGCCTGCATCAGTTTTCCTGCCTCTACCTGAGCAGCAGGTTTTTTTCTCTCAACCTTCAGAGCCTTATATAATCGAACAGCGATTTTGCCTCTCTCAGGCCAAATCAATCTTCATAACAGGACGAAATGTACTTTTAAAACAATGAGATCAGATTAAGTGCCTCAAAATGATTACTGAGATCTGAGACAAAGAAAACCAACAAGATAAACTTCAAAACTAGTGAGTTAAGCCAAGGGGAAAGAAGAGAGAAGCAAGGAAAAAAGGAGAGAGGGCTCCATGGGAATAATGTTCAGTAAATCTTCAAAAAGAATAAACAAGCAGGACCTTAAAGATGATAAGAGTGAAAGGCCCGAAAAACTGCAGTTAAACATGGCTGGATGAGTAAGGCCAACTTAGAGGAAATA